ATAAATAAAATTGCATCAAATATCAAATATCAACAATTCTGTATCTTATTTAAACAGTTTTGCATAATTAAAATAATCATTAAAACATTAAAGTAATCTGATGGCTAAGAAGAAGAAATATAGACTAATCTATTAATTTTTACTAATTCTACTTTCAGTATTTATATATATTTCAAGATACAACAATTTTTTAAGTATTTGTAGAAACAATTGATACAACCACGGCTTTGCAGAATAATATATTATAAATATTACATCATACAAACATTATCGTTTCACATGATCTATAACATTCAGAAAAATTGTCAAGCACAATAGCAGAGAAATCATGCAAATTATTTAAAAAAAAAGAACTATCCACCGAAATTAAAAAAAGAGGTAAAGGAGGTAAATTTCCTGATGCAAGTTTCAAAAGTTAAGAAGAAGGAGCTTCTTTATTTCGAATAACATACTTAACTGAAAATACCAACAAAATCTTTACCGGACCTTAAAAAATACGTAAACAAAAAAGTAATAGTATCAACGCGAAGTTTCTTGGTATCCATTAATTTCCCCTTCACTTGCAGCGTAACTTCGCGCGAACTTTAATCGAATTGGAATAGATAAAAAAAGAACATCAACGCGAAGGAGACTGCTTCACCGAAAACGTAAATTATTTAACGACGCAGAGCTCCGTTTCAATTTACGGTATTCTTCTAAGCTACCGTCTACAATCACGGCCGCGACATCGACGAGTAACAGATAATAGCTTCTACTCCTATTTCGGTCCCATAAACAACGCACTGTGCAGCGCTGCGTTGAATATTGGATGACACCCGGAAGCCGCGGCACGCGACGGAACGCACGGGCACCGATGCATTGTTTTTAATTTTCACGCGGGACACACCGGCGGCGAACGATCGCTCCCATTCTTATCGTTGAAGCACACGTTCGGTGTGTGGTTGCCATTGGAAATTGATTTCCAGTTGCCTGGCAACGTTGAGTTTAAGTTGCCACCAGGATAGCCATGCCTGGCCGGTAGTTAGTCGGCTGCAAGTTCTGCGGCGCAAGGTGTAAGCATGGGCTTGTCGGACCTAGAAGCGATACCTGGTAAACTTTCCACGTTAAACGCACCGTGTGCACACGATTTAACGCACTCGCATCGACTATCTACGCGATCAGCACCGTATACGAACATCGGCGACGCTATATTTCCTTAATTTACCCGAAACAGACGCGGTTTGCTCTGCCGGCGAGCCGGCTTCGCAGTGATCTATATAGTCCGCGATTGTTTATGCCAACTTACGAGCGCGTAGAATGATTTCGAAAAATGTTCAAATCGACACCGATATGCGTGCGATATAGTTATTCGGTCGGATTGTTGTCTTCGCAGTTAGTTCGCTGGACGCGTTGCTTATCGGAGATTACCTCACAGTGCTTCGGAAAGCCGGCGATTGTTAATAAACTTGTCGATAGAAGTAGCAATTTAGTAGTCAATTTAGTAGTCGTTGATTCGAATAATTTTGTCGTCGCGGCTGTGTTTTGCTTTACGCGAAATGATAATTGTCCGCGCGAGTTGTATAAAGCAGGAGTTAAATAGAACGTGATCTCCTTTTTTAATAATTTTAGCGGGTTGTAAATAATATACGATTAATGTTGAATGCTTCCAGTGTTCCTTCTGTGTTGCGTGTCTCGCCTACTCATCTTACAAATGTAATCGTAATTGCGTAAACGCGATTGAAAAACGTATCAGGAAGACGACTTCAAGGATTTCCAACTTCCACGTGTTTCGATATCGAATAATACATTGCGTAAAATTAGTTTACCTCGGTTTTCGCAAATACGAAGCGCTGGCTGGCTGCCATAAATATGTGACGCCGTTAGCGTGCGTGTTAATGGCTTCGTTAGATTCGTAAATCATGAAGCATCATAGAGGTTTTCGTTTCACCGTGTTTTGCGTCTTAGAAGCGCCAGAGACGCGTAAACAGTTTCAGTATGCTAACGATGTATTACATTGTTGATCGTTGAAGCATTTTTGCAATTTTCATCGGATGTGTGGTTTTATTGCTGTAAATGTTGGTTGCGAAAGGAAATTACGAACGACACGCAACGTTTGAGTACGAGAAAAAAAATTGTGGCACGTCTGAAAATGTTCGAGCATAACCAACAATTTTCTATTTATTCCGTACGATTTATTTACAGCTTCTGTGAACATCTTGTCTTTCGTCGTAGCAATTAATATGCATTCTAGTCATCGCAGCCATCATTTAAGTACTTAAAAGTACATGCTATCGGAAAATAAGACTAATATTTCTGGTCATATTAAATTCAAACGTTACTTCAATCATAACAATAATGATAATATTTCGAATTATTTAAAAAATTTCAGTGTTTTATAGCGTCATTCGAAGAGTAAATAATTTCTCTTAATCAAAATTTGATGATATTTCACATTTGTCGTGCTTCGCATTAATCGAATACATAATTAAAAGGAACAATTGAACAATAAAATTCTTCTTAACTTCTAATTGAAATCACCATTTTTTTTTATAGGTATATAAAATAAAAGAGAGAATTTTCAATAGCACTAGTATCTATTGAATTAATACGGACAGATTGATTGCGTTGCACGCAATGTTTGTACTTTCTGAAAGTTAACAATTAATTGGCACACGAGTTCGATGTGGTGCGAACTAACGGTAATGCAATCATCATGAACAAACGTTACGTCGGCAGAAATAAATATGCTTATCACTTCTCCGTTCGCCAGTTTTACGAACATGTGGGCTGCAGCTTACGTCCGCAGAATATCGTTTCCTGGCTCAATCATGTCGTAAATTGCGCCCTTCGGCGTGAAAATAATTGAAAAATTATTTCCCGGAAAAACGAGGTCGAAGGACGTATAAACTGTCCACCCGCCCATTATTTCCGAACTGAACGACCGCAGTTCTACATTATTTATTTGCGCTACGATTTCGTACTCGTTTATGCAACACTGTCTACAATTTTAAACAAATTTTAAAATAATGGAATCAAGTCCAAAACAAAAAACAAAAAATAAAAATTATATACAGTTCTATCAAATTTTGTATTATAGTATTTAAAAGTTTATAAAAAGACTCTGATATTTTTTGAAGCTTGTGTTTCTTAGAGTTTCAAATATTTAAATAAATATTTTACTTAGAACGTAAAATTGAAATAAATATAACAAATGAATATTTTAAACTCTAAGAAACAATGTTAAGGAACTTCAAAAAATATTTTCAAGTAAAATCAACTCTCACTTGCGGCGTCGATAATGTATTAATCATAAATTGCAAATTAGGAGGCGGACGTTTAGTTTCGGTAAATAAGAGAATTCTTATACACCGATTATTATAAACACACATGGAGTTGCAGAAATTCAATTACAACATGTCGAACAACATTACCATAAATATCGCGGTATGTATTACCGAGGTGCAGAAACAATGACAATAACTCATTGATTATTTAAACGACGGTGAATTAAATATTTGAATCGATTTGGCCGCTGGTCGCATACATTTTAATCTGTTCTCTTCGTCGCTGTACATACAACAAACGATGTGTACTCGGGTTAACGACCCGACGCAGTACCACCGGGCAGAAAATGGGCGCATCGATGATATCGGCACAATGAATTTACCATCTTGCATGTCACGTCTTAAAATAAGGACACGCTCCACATTAGAGGCACCGAAGCGATAAATTCGATCATTGTCCCGCGTTACGATATCGTTTTCTCTGCTCCGCCTTCGCGGACACCATGAGTCAAGCGAGACCGATTAAAACGATAGAACCGCGTCCGTCCGTCTCATGTGACCGTTCGTTTCAAGAATTGCATAATAATTGCAATTGTCGCAACTATTAATAATTGCAACTTGCGCCGTCCGATTTGACCATTCAATATTTATTTGATAGATCAATCGTTCGTTTTACAATAAAACTTTCTAAGATAATAAAAATTCGTGAAATTACAGTCGAGAGATCGTAGAAACAATCGGCGGCGTTAAATGCACGAACAACGGATAAATTTGGCTCGGATATGCAATATCGAAAATTGCTTCGAGTCCACGCGGAAGTCAACGCGTTGCTCGTTCTTCCCGGCAAGGTCCGTGGGCGTCGAATGGGTCCACCGAGAAGTAAATCTTGAAACTTGGACTGATAACGTAATAGGCAATTAAAGTCAACTCAGCCAAGGGACATACTGTGCCCGAAAGATGGATGCGCGATGCATTATGCAAAGGAACGTTTGAACTTTTGATAAATAGAACATAAACATAAGCTCTCTCTCTCTCCCTGCGACGGATTTACACCTACGGCTAACATTGACCTTTCGAAATGAGAAACTGTGATTCACCGTGGCTTCTGTCGCGGCTGTTTTTGCTAATCACCGATACGTCCATTTCAAAAATCTAATAAATCTAATAAATCCAACAAATCCAGCAAATCCGTTGAATTTAATAAATCCGATAAATTTAACGAATTCAATCAATTTAATAGATTTACATACTTTAATTAATTTACTAATTTATTCAATCGACGTAATGAACGTATCGGTAATAAATTTATGAATTTTATTAAATTGACGTCCCTGCGCCGTCCGCGGCGTTCAGCGATTCGCGTTCTCTTCCAATCGGAATGATTGCCGTCGCGAGCCAGAAAAGACCGTAGAAATTCTGTTTAACAGAAACAATTAATTCCGCGTTGCATAAATTGGAATTAGCAATTTTCGCGCGTGAATAATATTAACACGTACTCCGGAGAAATGAAATGCAGTCTCGCTGCCGAGAGCTAGCTTCCTTCCTCGGTATTCAAATACAAGGACTTTCGTATTCACAAGGACTGCGGATTATAAAGCAGTCCTTTGAACTCGGCCACGCCTCCGTACATGATAATACGCGATTGTTTTCTGTACCTTTGTAATTTGCTCGTAAAATTTCATTTCGCGCGCGATGGAAAACCGTTCGAACGAAATAAATTACGTGGGACGTTCTAGAACGTGGCGAGTAAGAACTCGAAGGAGAGTTAATTACGTCTCTCTGGAGCAGTGATAATTATGCTTATTCCGTTCCCGCAAAAGATGAACAATCACCACCGGAAGGAAATTATTTTTTAATTTGCAAGAAGTACCGAAGTTTCGAAAATTAGAACGAAATAGCCAATTATTGCACCAAAGATAAGTTAAATAGCACTATTTCTGTAAAAATTGCAATTTCTTGCGACAACTTGTGTGTGAACATTTGGCTGAGCATTTGAAATTAACGCTTGTTAATTATTATATTTGAAATTATATTTAAATGGCTGTATTTAGATGATGATAATAATGGTAGTTTTAGGTTTCCCAGATTCTTCATACCATTGTCTCAGTGAACAGAAATAAATTCTACATTTTTCAATGAATATTTTGCAATCGAAATTATCGTATCATCAGCCTAATTCTCCATCGAAGAAGGTGTATCAGGTAATTTCTCTGCGTCGAGTCTCAGTCCTCCATTCGTCGCTCTCGAATGATTGCTGTAAATTGACCTATTAAACTTGCAGTTGTAAACAGTACCGAAACTTTACAACAAATTCGCCGGTAAACCGATCTTTATTTCCGAAAGAAACAACGAAAGGCCAGATTTCGTTGATCCTTCGTGCACGTAACGAAGTTCGCCTTCGAGATATGACTAATGCCCCGTTTATCGGTGATCCGATTAGATGACCAACGGCCGATATTTGCATTTCAAATGAATACGTAATGGGTTTTTACGATTGCCGTTTGCAAGAAACGGTCGCGAACGAAAACCGAAAGCGAAAGGAGGAGATTCGAGGGTTGACAAAAATTTGTCTGGACTTCTCGTCGGCAAATATACGATAGAGTTCGCGCGCGACCGGCATTTCGTGCCAGACGAGAAAGAAAGAAGCGATTCGCCGACTGATATCGCGTTATCGCGCTAACCCCTTTCGGTAAATCATTTGAGATTTAGCGCGTCTGTGCTATCGTTAAGATGTATTGTAAACTGCGAGATGGTAGATGCACGCGACTTGAATTCGGTAATGGCGAAACGACCCTAGAGACGATGACGATTACTCGAATTTCGAAATTATAGAGCAGAGAGAAACGAGATTTATAAGATTATTCTTGTTTTTATCGTTATCGTCTGAGCTCCTCGAATTTCTCGATCGACGCTCTGTATATACAATTATGGACAAAAGTTAAGAAATCTCTCGTATCGTTAACGTTTGACTAAAATTTGACGTTTTATATGACAAATATAATATATTGTGAATTCAATTTTTATGTTATATTTAATATATTAAATTAAAAGTGTACGTGTACGCCTTTCATAGTGGAACGACTTTTCTAAAATTCAAGCAAACGTTTCGGATTGTTTTGAGATGCTGGTATTGCTGTTTTTTGGAAACATTCTTTCGCACAGTGCCTATAGCAAAAACTAATCCTCTGACATCTGCAAAAAACTTCGACTCATTGTATACAGTTTGTAAACGGTTGCTTCGTTTCTACTTTCTACAATAAAACCATGAAATATGCTTGATTATGAGACACGA